CTCTCCCCCCCCCTGCCTTTACCTGAAGATGGAGGCCTCTGATACCCCTGTTGCTGTCCCCACCCCCTCCACCTCAAGTCAGCCAATCCCCCGCTCCGCCTCAGTCTCATGCCATGTCTCTCGTGCATCAGGGGGCAAAAAGCAAAAGCGGACCCCCTTGTATCAGCAATCTGTAAGTGGGCATGATGGGACAGTCTGTGCCGGCTTGATGTCCTCACTGGCAAAGAATACCTGACACTGTAACTGCATGCTTTAAGTTTGGGAGTTGTAAAGCTTTTGGCTTTACAGGGCTATTTGGGTCCATAAAATCTGTTTTTGATTGTCTAACTTTTGACCACATGCCTGCCCAACCGTTTACGTACATTTCACTTGATTTGTGGGTGAAGTTCTACACCGAGACCTAGTCCTAACTTTGAATGAGGAGACGAGTTTGTTTGTGTGCATATTCTAATATATAATTAAGTCAGTGTGCAGTGGATTAAATGCATGAATTTTAATTTCTAGGTTTAATATGAAACCGACGGTACTTGCATTTGTGTGTTCTTTAGTATTGTGTAGGTACAGCAGATTTATCCTGGTCATTTTGATCTACTTGATCAGGGAACCAGTTCAAGCAGACCAAACGGAGAAGAGAAACTTAAACCTACATGCCACAACAAATGAATGGGACAGCGTTTCCCCTCTTTAAATTTTTCTTTTTCATAGTTGCAAATACCCGCAGTATTTAAAATCCTGTTTCATCCCATTTGACCATTTCCACACTTGTGTTCTGATCTGTTGTGAAGCAGTCGGATGTGTGGAGAGTGCTGAAGGTCGAAAATTGAGCAAGTGCATTTTTACCTCATCCTATGTCTTATTTCTCCATAGATGAGTTTTGACCCCAGTCTGCTGCATAATAATGGCCATGGTGGCTTTGCCAATGGAACGAGCTTGGGAGTTCGTGAGACGGGAGTGGTTGAAAAACTGCTAGCATCATACGGTTTCATTCAGTGCTCTGAGAGACAGGCCCGCCTCTTCTTCCACTGCTCTCAGTACAACGGCAACCTGCAGGAGCTGAAGATCGGAGGTATGAGCTGAATGGGGTTTGTGAAATGGCAGGAACTAGGGCTGAACAATGTAACAAAAAATTACATATTTAGCCTTTTGATGATAACATTTTTGGTCAAGTGTAGTACCAAAAAATAATTGAATATGTCTCTTTGAAAGTCATTGAACCAGCATTTTGAATTGTCATTTAAAATTGCTGAAACATTACTTCAATTAAACCTACTCAGTCTATTGCCATTTTTTTGCTTCTGAAATCTGAGACTCTTATCTCCATTTTAACCATCTCATTCTTGGGTGTTGCGAGATCAGGAAGAATCATAAAACTAGACTAGTGGTGGTGCTTTAACAAAAGCTTATGGCCAAAATACAACAATTATTAAAATTGTAGTGTACAAATCTCTGGTAAAATCATCACAAATGTCTTGTCTCTGTATTCAGTAACAAGACCTTGTTGCCCGAAATACAAGCAGTAAATATTTAGTGTATTGTAATGCATCTTAATGCAGGAACTGACTTCCATGTTTTGTCTGTTCTGCCACTTTTCAGACGATGTGGAGTTTGAGGTGTCGTCTGATAGACGCACTGGCAAACCAATTGCGGTGAAGCTGGTAAAAATCAAGGCAGAAATGTTGCCAGAAGAGCGAATTTCTGGGCAGGTGGGGCCTGACTTGCACGCCTCTCCTTTAACTGTGCTGCATGGTTTTATTCATCCAGTTAAGGAACACATTTTACTTTTGTGTTTTATTGTCCTTGTCCCATTAATGTCCGTCATTGTTGGTTTCGAGCTCATTTTTAATCCATATTGACCTGGAAAATGCATAAATCACTGGTTTCAATTATTAGGAGTAGCAATCCTCTTAACTGACCTGATGCTAATGCTTCATTTTGTGTGGGTTCACAATGAGCTTGATTGTCTTTGTGTTTTGCGGTCTTGTTGGGAGAACTTTTCATCTTCATTTAATAATAGAGTTATGAGAGAAACAAATCTTGATTTGTTCTCAATGTCAAGTCTGTCATTCATGTACTTAAATATTCAATTTATGACTGGTTCTTTGAACTCAGAAGTACAAGTCAAATCTTAACCTAAATATTCTTTGTTTTTGTTTTTTTAGTCTGTCTGTTCAGGGACCTTCTCTTTAGCATTTAAACATGGTTAGTTGATCCTGTCTCTCACTGATGCAGCCTCTAACCCTGTCTTGTCTATTTGAACGTCCCCTTTCTTCAGGTAGTGTCAGCTATCCCCTCTCACTTGGACGGGAAGTCCGCACCCGGCCAAGTGCCCACAGGCAGTGTGTGTTATGAGAGGAACGGGGTGAGTGTCATTTATTCTCATTTGCAGAGTTTCCTATATATTTTAGACATTCGCTCATCTTCTATCCCCTTTTGAGACCATTTTGTGACCGACATCAGGGCTCTACGCTTACTTTTCTTTTTAGGAGCACTTGTGCTCTCTACACTGCGCAATGAATCTCTCACTTTGCTTATGAAAGGATTCGTGAGATACGTCTGTGATACATTACTCAATGCTGCAAAAACACGTAGAAACATTTGAAGCTCCCCTGAGCGATCACAAGTATGATGATGATCGGGTCAGTCGCACTGGTGCTCCTAAAAAAATGTTTATAGTCGCACGCAGTAGTTTTCAGTCGCAAATGCGACTGAAATGGTCGCACTGTAGAGCCCTGGATATAGCTTAGCAAACCAAAAGAAAAGCTGAGTGACAGCAGTTCTGTGGTTCATAAACTGGTCTTTATATGGAACACTGATGGTAGCGGTTGCTGTTTCTGAAGGCGTTTGTGGTTTAAATCTTCTCACAGGAAGTATTTTATTTGACCTACACCCCTGAGGATATCGAAGGAAACGTTACTTTAGATACTGGAGATAAAGTCTGTTTTTACATGGAGACCAACAAGCAGTAAGTTAATTTCTGTAATGTCTGATTAAATTCGGTATAATTTCAAAAGAGCAACATTTTTGGGTGTGAAAATGGTTTATTTTTGTTTTTCAGTACTGGTGCTGTTAGTGCTCACAACATTGTATTGGTAAAGAAGAAACAGTCAAGATGTCAGGGAGTTGTTTGTGCTACCAAGGTAAGGATCTGATTCAAATATGAGTTTGCAGTAGTTGCTTTTTTTTGTAGACATACTGAGGAATAGTGATCTCCTGCCCTCTGGTGGGAAGGAGAATAGCAAAAGACTTCTCTTATCTCAGCATTCTGCTAGAATAGTCAAATGTAGTTGTGTGGGTTTAGCAATAACGTGTATAGTGGTTAGTTTTTTTTGTTGTTTTTTTTTTACATGTTTGAATTTAAACTTGCAGTAACTTGTAGAACATTGTTCAGAACATAGCTGCAAATTTTGACTACAGTTCTAAAATTCAAAATTAGAATGTGAAAATTAGAATTTTAAAGTCGAGTGCCAGTTTTTGTTTTTTGTTTTTCAAGTATATTTTCAAATATACTTTTTGTTAAAGTTTTGTTTGTTTCAAATCTAAAATTGTTCTTGCAGGAGGCCTTTGGATTCATTGAACGAGGAGATGTTGTGAAGGAGATCTTCTTCCACTACAGTGAGTTTAAAGGAGATCTGGAGGCTCTACAAGCTGGAGATGATGTGGAATTCACCATTAAAGAAAGAAATGTGAGCAATTGATGAAGAAATGTTTTTAAAAAGCAAAAAATTTTTTATTGAGGATCTGTTGGTCTTTGGTTAGTAACTAATACTCACTGATAAGATACAAAAGATTTTACTTTAAAACACTGAGTGAAATTACTAGTCATGAGATGCACTGCCGTTTCAAACAGCTGTATTGAGGTTGTTTCTGTGTGTGTCTCATAGGGCAAGGAAGTGGCCACAGATGTGAGACTGTTGCCTCAGGGCACTGTTATATTTGAGGACATCAGTATTGAGACTTTCGAGGGAACTGTCGCCAAGGTTATTCCCAAGGCCCCCACCAAGAATCAGGTTTGCGAATCGGCTCTTGCCATTAGTCTTCCCAGACTCCCACGATAACATTACCATATAGATCCTGCTTGCAAGTTAAATCGAATAAGACTCCATCTGTCTCTCTCAGAACGACCCACTGCCTGGGCGAATCAGTGCCAGAATTAATTTCACTGACAAAGAGCTGCTATTCGGGGAGAAGGACACCAAGTCCAAAGTGACGCTGCTTGAGGGAGACCATGTCCAGTTCAATATATCCACCGACCGTCGGGACAAACTGGAGAGAGCGACAAATATCGACATCCTCCCTGACACTTTCCATTTCACAAAGGAGACCCGTGAAATGGTGCGACTGCTGAAATTTGTCCTTGGTTCCTTGCAAAGCTGTTTTACTTTTTGCCAATGTTGGCTTTGTCTCTCTCCTTGTCTTTTTGTGCAGGGTGTGATAGCTGCCATGCGTGATGGTTTTGGCTTCATCAAATGTGTGGACCGTGATGCCCGAATGTTCTTTCATTTCAGCGAGGTTCTGGAAGAGAGCCAACTGCACATTTCTGATGAAGTGGAATTCACTGTTGTCCCTGTGAGTTCCCAGATATCACCACACCAGAACCACTTTTGTGTTCCTGTATATGCAATTTTTATTTATATATATGTATATCTCTCTCTCTCTCTCATCCTGTCAAGCCGCCATCCTGTTTGCTGGATATTTGAATGTAAATTGTAATTGTGGTCTTACATTGACTAGCTTTAAAACATCCCCTTTCCTCTATCAGGACATGCTGTCAGCCCAAAGGAACCATGCAGTGCGGATCAAAAAGCTGCCCAAGGGCACAGTGTCGTTCCACACTCAATCTGAGCTGTGTTTTGTGGGGGTGGTAGAGAAAGAAGCTGTGCCTGCTACCAACAACAAGAACTCCAGCCCCAGCAAGGGCAAAGAGAAGGTAGGCTAACTCTTGACTTCCTGAATCTACACTACCATTCAAAAGTTTGGGGTTGGCAAGGTGGTTTTGAAAAAAAGTTTCTTATGCTCACCAAGGCTGCATTTATTTGATCCAAAATGCAATAAAACTGTAATATTGTAAAAGTTACAATTTAAAATAACTTGTATTTATTGTTTTAAATGTAGTTTATGCTTACAATGACAAAGCTAAATTTTCAACAGCCATTACACTAGACTTCATGGATCCTTCGGAATTAATTATAATATACTTATTTGATGCTCATGAAACATTTCTTATCAATGTTTAAAACAATTGTACTAAATATTTTAGTGGCAGTGGTGATACTTTTTTTCAGGATTCTTTAAATAGAAAGTTGAAAAGAACAGCATTTATTTTAAATAGAAATATTTTGTAACATTGTTTTTTGCTGTCATTTGATCAAATTAGTGTGTCCTTGCTGAATAAAGAAAATCGTAATGACCCCAAACTTTTGAAATGTAGTGTATATGCAGTTGATTTTAATGTATTTCTTAAGAGTCCTTAAAGTACACATCTGTGGAGATTGTGTAGAACCATCAGTCATAATTATGAAGAGGGAGTTTGAAAATGGAGGAATTTAGTTGCTCAGTATTTTTGTTTTTAATTTTGCTTTCCAAACTTTTGTATCCTGTATCTGCTTGTCTCCCTCTGAATTGGCACAATCACAAAAAACAATAGAAGGCTTTGAAGTGCTATAAAATGCTACTATCTTTTGTCTGACCTTCTATTCTGTGTTTTGTTTTATTTTTATTTTAACCATGCTCGTCTTCATTAGAAAAAAGACAAGGTAGGCTGCTGTTTTCTGCATGCTGCCTCTCCTCCACAGTGTAGACTGTTCAGTCATGCTGTTAGAAATTTATGTTCTGATAACAAGATATACTACTATTTTGAGTAGTAAAGTAAAAGTTTTATTTTGTATTTGATTCACCTCCAATTCAAACTTTTTTTTTGACTGGTTAAAATTAGTCACGGATGTGTCTAATCCTCCATATTTCTCTTCTTTTTTTTTTCTTTTTTTTTAAGGGAAAAGTTTGCCCATGACTGTTTGTTTGGTTATGAGGCCTGTTGGCATGAGCTTAGATTTAATAGCTTTAAATCATACAGACATGTTAACCTCATAACCAACTCAACCAAGCTGTGCCACTCAGTGTGTGCATTCTTGTGTGAGGGGTATAACGGTTCAGTTTCTGTCACTCATGCAATTAATTTTTAAAATGTAAACCGCACAGTTCATAAACATTTTCAACCATGGCACAAATGTGTACCAAACCGTGACTGACAAACTGTATGGGAGCAGTTTTACCCTTTGTGTAAGTGTGTGCATGATGGCTAAATATTGTGAAGCGTTAGATGTTTGAGTTTTTTTATTTTATTTACTCCTACTTTATTTTCCCCATGCTTTGGCAAAGGCAAAGCTAGGATTTTTATAATTTATGGCCGCTGATATCCAGATACCTAATCTTGTTTACATGGTCCTCATGTGTCTGCAGTCTGATTTGTTGAAACTGGCCTTCAGCACTGAAACTTATTTAAAAAAATAAAAATTTAGTTCACAACTAGGTCTAATTTCTGTACTTGATCTTGAAGGTGCACTCGGTAGTATTTTCATTTTCAAAAAAAGTTTAAAATGACATACATCCTGACTGTTCATCTCATAAGTTTACAGTATAACAGTCTACTGAGTGCACCTCCGTTCTGGATATATGGTGAATGTTGTTGGTTCTTATGTGAATGTGTATATTTGTGTTGTCACCAGGATGCAGAGGAAGGCGAGATTGCGTATGAAGACAGTGGAGTGAAGAGCACTCTTCCCTATTATATTAAAGACCTGGAGGGAGGCGCTTACCCACAGCTTGGAGACAAGGTACATTAGACAGGCGCTGTGGTTCAGTGTTACTTGTGCTTACTGAATTTATCCTTGGATTAATAGGGTAGTTTTTCAACCTGATAATTTGTTTTAATGTAAACCCCCATGTCTCCACTAGGTGGAGTTCTCCATCAGTGAGGTGAAACGCACCGGACAGCAAAGCGCTGTGTCCCTCAGGATCCTTAATCGTGCTGTTGGCACCAAGAGGCTTCTGGGATACATAGCAACACTGAAGGATAACTTTGGCTTCATAGAAACAGCCAATCATGATCAGGAGATTTTCTTCCACTACAGGTAATAAAAGTTTCTTCTTGAAGGTTTTTTTTTTTTTTGATTGTCATTGTTTACTCTGATTTGTGTGCAGTGAGGTATGTGGGGATGTGGATAACATGGACCTGGGGGATACAGTGGAGTACACTCTCTCCAAGGGCAAAGGAAACAAAATCAGTGCTGAGAAGGTCACCAAAGTTGCAGCTGGTATGTTGCAGAGACTTTTTAGTGGTTTGGCATTAATACATTAATAATTGGTTCACGCAAATAACACAACTCTGTGTGTCAGTGAATGGAGTAGGAGAGGATGTGAGTAATACCATGTTCCTGGGGAAAGTTGTTCGGCCCTTGCGCAGTGTGGACCCCTCTCAGACTGATTATCAAGGCCTTATTGAGATCACAGAGGAAGGTGGGTGACGAGCTATTTTCTTTTTTTTTTTTCGTGTGTGGTCCTTTTAAAATCCATCTAGAGTATTTTATAAACGTGTTAGAAACAATGAACTCCACTCATTTGTAATTAATTACTGTTCTTTGCTCAAACACTTCACCAGGAGCCAGTAAGGGTCAGAGTTATCCGTTCGGCATCGTTGGTATGGCCAATAAAGGTGACTGTCTGCAAAAGGGTGAGATGGTGAAGTTTCAGTTGTGTACAGTGACCCAGACAGGACAAAAGATGGCCTGCAACATTGTGCCTCAGCGTAGAGCCCTGGTGGAGTGTGTCAAAGATCAGGTAAACTTAATAATGCAAGAAAGTGATTAAATAGTTTTTAAATTAAGACACTGGCTAAAAGTAGTGTTCCCCCCCCCCCCCAATTTTGGTTTACCA